CTAACAAGAGGCCGTTATGCATGAGCATGCGCGCAACCGCTGCGTTATAACGACCATGGGCTCTAGAATACGGGTAGAATAACATTGTAGTAGCTGCGGAAGCTTCGATTCTGAACATAATTGATGTTTTTACTTATCTTCCACATTTTTCCAAACAAAACCAAGTAGATATATTTACAATGCACACGAATATCTTTCAAACTTTATATAAATTACTGTGAGTCTCGGGCTAGATTTATAACACGAAGCCACTTTGTACCGTTAAAATGTAGTGAATTATTTGTGCACACCTTTAGCAATAATAAATTCCTAAGATGTGAATCGATTGCACTGCAATAGTTTATTTCATAACTTATAATGATACAGCTATAGAACTACACATAGATATTTATGATAACTTGATTCAAACAAGCTCAACTCTTCAGCCAAAAGAATGCTAAATCTGTCGTGAGTGCTCAACAGCACGTAAGAATTTGCAGAATTAACACCGTTCCACATTTTTCATAGACAAGAAAACATTATCAAACCATTTGCAAAGCATAAGTCTTGATATTGGTAGCCTTATTCTAATGAGTCCTGGTGGTATATAAAAGGAAAGTAGTATTTCATGTAACAGTTAATAATATTTAAGCGTAAATATTGTACACTTCAAGAAACTGTCTTTCGAACATTTCGAGGTCGATGTTACTAAACGATGCCTAATTATATTACTACATGTGTACATTTACCATTTACTTCATAACCTGCGTTGAATCTTGACCATCACTCAGCAAAAACTGGAATAGTAGTTGCGTATATAAACCACTGAAGCCTCCATATTGTAAACACAAAGTCATTAATATCAACATTTCTTAAATAAGATTTTAAACGGTCCCAATCAGTCCAATGACGCCAGTGTTTTTCCTCGTTGTAGGTTACACTATTTATGGGTGTTCTTGAGTCATGACAGAACATTTCAGGGTCAAAAACAGCCAAAAACATTTTTGGAAATTGTCCTTCGTGTCGTTGTAATTTCTCGCTTGAAGTGAATCACTAATGAATTTCAATGAATTTTCAACAAACTGGTGCATGCGCACGCCAAACGGCCCCTTGTTCCTTCCGTCATGATTGATGGAGTACGTAATTTCCCAGTAATTCGGACTTCCTGTTTAACACGGACGGACTAAGCCGAATAAACGGCCGCAAGTTGTCATGGGAATGTAGCCTTTTGGAACGCCTGGCTAAAACCTGCTTTCTAATGTGTCTGACCACTTGAGCACTGCAACACAATTTGATAAACGGACATAATAATGCTAAGACTAAATAGATCAAACAACCTTTATAAGCACTTGTTTAGAAGATTACAAATAGCCAAATACCACGCAGATGATGGATGTTATGGTTATCGTCCGAAGGAGACGCTCAAGTTTCAAGGTATCGTATCGTATCCCGGGTATCGTACGTCTAGCGCAGTAATTTTTTCTTTCACAACTGATTGAACATTATTGCTGGCCGGTGCACAGGAGTAAATTTGCAGCTGCAGGACAAATCTTTGTAGTTTTCCATACACATCTGCAAATACGGTTTGATATATAATTTATTGATACTAGTAAAAATTTATTGTCAGTGTGGAATTACCGTGTTTTCCACCTTGGTCAAATTTTTTTTGTAAACACCAACTCTGATGTTTTATTATTACATGATTGCTTTTACATGAAATGCTTCACAGAGGACAAAGCTGCACAGAGGAACAGAATTCATCATTCAAATCTATTCAGACTTATTACAGCCTACCGGAAACATGGACATAAAGCTGCAAATGTAAAYCCCTTGGGAAAAGTTGCAAGATCAAGGCTGGATGAGTATGAACATTATTGTACACATTTTTAGAACTCATTAATAATTCATGAGCTATTAGTCCAATGAGGATTGAACTATTGGGTCACATGATGGGCCTTTATATCCGATAAAGTACTGATGTTTTATTAATCAGTTCTATATCAGATATAAAGAACTGATGAAGTTCATCAGCGCTTTATTGCAACCCAACACAAGCAAAGGTCTCAGTTTTAATGTCGCATCATAGACCTTCTCTAGGTTTTAAATCAGTTTKAATCAATGTGCMGACATGCACTATAGCTAGACTAGCTGTCTTTCGTGTGGGATCAAAATTCTTTCTATTGTGKCACAATGCRCATGCTCATTAGAAGTTCAATATGCATTATCACTGTTTTCGTATTTTTTAGCTTTTTTCTAAAATGATAACAAGTCAATTCCTGAATGTTGGAGTTCTAGAAGTYGTTTATAGAAYTCGAGTGCGTGTTTTATWGGGTATATAGATTCTTGCCTGCGACTCGAATCTATATATCCCGATAAAACACGCACTCTCGTTCAATAAACAACACATATAGCACATTCTCATTCTTCAAATACATTTATGTCTTATTATAAAAGGCTTAACTTTTAAATGATTTTAAAGTATTTAAAAGCTATAAATAATGAGACACAAAAAAGATTGCTCCTCTTACCTTCTGATCCTCCAATGCATTGCAAATGAAAGAAATACTTCAGAAACTTGACTCAATATCAATATGTACTGTTGCTATTGCCATCTTGTTGAAGGRCTATTATGAAATGGCCTTAAATATTGAAATGAGATTGCAACTATTTGAGCTTGCAATGATGGTATAGATGYCTTTTTTAATACTTAAGACAGGTGGCAATGTGCGTGCACTAATTAGATCCTTTCAAGTTGATGCAACAAGTTGTATATTGCCTTAATATACCTAGTATGCCAGTTGATACAATCAGTTGTTACCAGTGATTATAATGGCTAGTCATGTTACAGTTACCAGCATAAAAGTTGTACTTATAAGTAATATATACAATATGAGCGGGCGATCTGTATGTAATATACAACTCTCTTCATGRGCTATGATTTCTATTGTGTTTTGCCTTATGAATATTAATGAGTTTTATAATATATAATATTAACCTCTTTGATAGTTTGGAAGTAACAGAGCTTAACCTAGATGAGTATGGTCTTGAACACATAGATCTCAATACACCAGTCAAACTTTCAGGTCAGTATGAATTCATCAATGTAAACCAGGGATTTCTTTTCAACTATATATAAGATGTCCCTCAAAATTCTCTCTCATCAACTTATTATACAATTCATTTTGCAATATAGCAATTTTTATTATTTCCCAGGCTTAATTCACATAGAAGACAARCATGAAGCATCATATAATGAAATTCTGGATCAATTAAAAAGGGCTTATTGTGGAGAATTATCAGTAGAATTACATCACCTTCAGGTWAGTCTCTTTTTATTATTCAACAAAAAAAAAATTCTGAATAAGTGGGCTCTGTGTACTGAGAGCTCTGCACAGCGCAGAGGTACTATCGCTTTGGGTGGTAAATTTTCAACCAATAACAGCATAGGAAAATTAATTTGTTTTTTTTTAAGTTTAAATTATTTTACTTATTACTAGAACAATTTTATAAGAATACGTTTATCTGGATTTTACAGAAAACAACTGTCTAATAACAGCCCAATCATCCTAAAAATASATGCAATTTATTAATAAATTGATGTATTCTAAGTTGCAATCATGTTTTTAAGTCAAGTTTAAAATTTATTGCCAGAGTGAAAAAGAAAAACTTTGGTTTGCAAATCTTGTTGAAGAGAGCATCCATTGGTCTTTAGATAGTGCAAGACAAAAACATATTGCAAAGCTGCTACTGAGGTCTCAGGTAAGAAATCCAGTCATTTGAAGTGTTGATTTACTTATTAATGACTATCATAATTTGTAACTTGTGAATAATAATTTATATGTTTGTGAAGTATTTAATTTAAAAAAGATGACATGTTACATTTAACTATAAGTCATCCATAAAGGTCTAAAAAGTTCTTTTTGATTGACTCAAGGTACATGCATCCATTTTTTGTGTAGTAGTGATATTCAGCATGCAACAATGCAACATTTTGCAACATCTAATAATACATTTAGCAGGTTGTGGGGAAGGAAGCATTCGCCTTGTTTTCTAATCATGTGAGGTTAAAGATTTGAAAGACTATACCTAAGATTAGGACATGCAAAAAGAGAATTAATTTAATTTTTCATCTTTCAACTGTTTATTTGTTGAATACTCAGGCATTTGATAACTTTGTGGCCAAGAAATTCATCACTGTGAAGAGATATGGTGGAGAGGGAGCAGAGAGCATGATGRTATTCTTTGATGAGTTGTTTCAACAGGCCTCCACAGGTCAGTGTTTATAAGTTTATAAATTGATATTGAAGTACATGTAAAGCAAGCCAATTTGCCATTTTACTCTCTGACTGAACTGTATTACTATACTACTAAATAGATGGCTTTGAGGATGTTGTGATAGGAATGCCACACAGAGGAAGACTAAACTTGTTGACAGGGCTGTTAAAGTATCCATTGCCTTTGCTATTCTCTAAGGTACTGTATGGCTATCCCTGTTTATTTTCCCAAGCATTTTTCATTCACCGGATTACCATTGTTTGCATGGACAAAAGTTCAGGACATGCAGCAAAATATAAAATTAACTGAAGTGGTTGGTAGTGTCCGTAAACAGACGTTCCTAGCAGTTTGGAGACAATTGAACCCGGAGGGTGGTGGGGGGAGGGTGTTACTGGGTGGGGGGGTGCCGCTGGGACGTCAAAACCCTGATCCTGTTCCAGAGTAAAATCGCTGAAAACGATATCCTGTTCCAGAGAAAATCTTGTACTAGCTTGTGTGTAGACCGCATTTTTACCCCGTGAATTTTTACCCAGCATCGAAATAATTCCGGAATTAAACCCTGACCCTGTTCCAGAGAAAATTCGTTGAAATTGATACCCTGTTCCAGAGTAAAATTACTAAAAACGATAGCCATTTCCAGAGTAAAATCGCTGAAAACGATACCCTGGTTGGCGGCACGTCCCCGTATAGCTAATATAGGGCAATTGAACGTCTGCTTATGGAGGCTAAGTGGTTGGCACATATATGCATTTATATTATTGATCGATGGCAGTGTATTGCTAATGATATTTKAGTGGTGAAGTGTTATCTGGAGTGGTTGCATAGTGATATAAACAATAAAATCTGTAATTGCCAATGGATTGCATTAATGTCTGCCATTGTTTTAATGATATGTTTATTAATAGTAATAATATCTGTAATCCTTTAGATGATGGGTAATTCTGAATTCTTTGATGGAGCTCAGGCCTCTGGGGATGTACTTTCACATTTRAGTAAGTGCTGGTTAATACTACTCTGTGATTGGTCAAAAAAGCATGATAAATATTTGAACCGTTGCATCCATTGTAGATAAAAATTATCTGTTTTAAATTTCTTAGATTAAATGATCATAAATATTTCAAATAATTTTGATTGTTAATGACATTTTACAGCCAGTTCTGTTGACCTTGACCTTGGTGGAACAAGTCCATTACATGTGACTATGATACCCAATCCCTCTCATCTGGAAGCTAACTGCCCAGTAGCTGCTGGGAAAGTTAGAGCAAAGCAGATGTCAAAGCAMTGGGGTGATTATACCCAGAATGGTTTTATTGATAAGGTAGGACATAATATATTCTTTGCCACCCCTCCCTCTCCCCCTATGGGRAAATTCCTACTCTTCTTTTACATGTAGGGATGAGTGGTGGTGGTGGTATGAACACAACTGGTTTTAGTGTTAAATAGRCTGAATTGATCAGTCCTGTACAGTGGCCAAGAGATTTCCAGTTTTTGTCAATTTTTATATAAAATTCATAGACAAATTTGTTTTGAAGAGRATTAGACATCTACATCAATATACAGTCATTGTAAATGTGTCATCCATTAGATGTGATCTGATCTTATTTTTTCTATTGTACAGGCATTATGTGTTTTAGTACATGGCGATGCATCATTTATAGGGCAGGTTTGTGTTTGACTTTTATTGATTCTTTCATAATGATTTACTTTGAAAGACTRTTGTTCATGATTACTGAATTGTATAAAATTGCCGTCAAATTTTATTAATCTTTTTAAATACAAGAACCTTTGTACAAAGTTTCCATATGTGTATCTGGTATTCGAGATGAACTAAAGAGAGATTTGTCAGTAAAAATATCTTTATTTTTTTGTTTTAGGGAATTATTGCTGAGACCCTTGKCATGTCAGCTCTGCCACATTATGATGTTGGTGGAACTGTTCACTTGATTGTTAACAATCAGTTAGGATTCACAACACCAGCAAATAGGGGAAGGTAATATATATTTAAAAGCTTATTTACAGTCACATTTTAACCCTTGTGCATTACCAACTTTGTAATTTATTTTTTTGTTTAAAGGATCTGAAGTTTTAGAACCTTTCTTTCAGCTTTAAATTGAAATAAATCAAAATCAATCAGAGAAAATGTGAGAGAAGATGTTTTAATGCATGTTGGACGTCTCTCTTTCAAGCCTCCTTAAGGAAGTTACTTTTACTAAAATTAGAAATTAATTGTTCCCAGGTCTTCAATGTATGCTAGTGATATTGCAAAAATTGTGGACTGTCCAGTGATTCATGTCAATGGAGATTCTCCTGAGGTACTTTAAACATTACATTTAAATTCATCCATTACGTGTACATCACAATGTCCCTATTTTCAATTTTCAACTGTAGTTTAAGCAAGCCTAAAATAAAACAACTACAGTATTCTGTATTCTCAAGTCATTTTTTTGTGATCTGCAGGAAGTATTAAGAGCAACCAAATTAGCCATGGAATACAGAAACAARTTTAGAAAAGATATCATTGTAGACATGAACTGCTACAGGAGATGGTAAGAAAATAAAGTTAAAAAAACAACAACAACAACGAAAAAAAAAACAGCCACAATTTACAATAACAATATAGACAGAAAGAAGACCTCACATTTTCAGTACTCAGTAATTACAGAAATCACAGAGTTCAAAACAAAAGACTTGCACCTGCTGAAACAGTTGTGTAAAAAGATAAATTTAAAACCGTTAAAAAGTAGGGGAAACAACATACTGAGGTTTTGAGTGTTGAAAACTCTTGTCTTTACTCTGACGAAGGATAATGTCTGAAATGACAATAAGTTCTTTTACCCACTTTAGAAACACTCAAGTAGCTCACACTAGTTTGCGCTAGTTTCCACCATTTTGTACACTGTACCTGCTGAACAAGAACTTTGTTATTTCACATAGAATTAGTAGCAATTTTTGATATTTTGTAAATGTCATATTATCTTTTTAATAAAATTCAGTCGAAGCACAGCCTATTTTTTATGCTGGATTCATGCGTCATCTCCATTCAGTTTTCTAAGTCTTTGTTATACTGTATTGCCTGTTTTAGGGGCCATAATGAGATTGAYGACCCATCCTTCACACAACCATCAATGTATAACTTGATTAATGTGCGTAAAAGTGTGCCTGATTGCTATGCYGCACAGTTAGAGGAGATGGGTGTGGTCACACATGACTCTTTAATGGAGGATGCTGCAGGTTACACTACGATGTTGAACGAGGATGCTAAAAAAGCAGAAAGCTACAGGAATTCCCCATCCCACCTTAGATCATCTTGGTCAGGGATTGTGGAAGCTAGTRTTGATAAAATAACATCATGGGATACAGGTTAGAAAATATGTATAACACATGAACTAATAATTTGGTAGAGTGTTGGTCTACAATGTAGGATTGCCATATGGTAATTGCAAACCAGAAACAGTGCCAATTATTATACTATAAAAAATAAATAATGGATATTAGTTACAGAATGATGCTATTATTTGGTATAGTTGTGCACAGTATTTTAAGACTTCATTTTCACTAGGACATATATATAGGCATAAGCCAAGAACAAAAGAAAAGCAAAAGGAATGTCAAGTGTGTGTATTGTTTATCACCTCTTATGTTAACTTTATAGTGTAGTGAAAACCATGCTTAAGATGACACAGAGCTAAGTTTCGATGTTACTTTGATTGTGAGTTTTTCAATCTATTTTTTGATGTGCACTTCTCAGGTTTACCACATGAMACTCTTCTGTACATTGGCGCCAAGTCAGTAGAGGTGCCAGCTGATTTCAATGTCCATCCACATCTCAAAAAAACACACATTGACACAAGACTGCAAAAATTAAARGAGGGAACTGCAATGGACTGGGCATCAGCAGAGGCTCTTGCACTGGGCAGCTTGCTATTCCAAGGTGACTCATAAAGCAGTTTTCAGTAGCTTCATATTTTGTATAAAATGCTGCTGTTAAGTGACAAATCGCTCATTTTAGTTATGACAGCAATACGTACACTACCGCCCAGAATTGTCTTAAACCAAAAACGCGTTTAAAACGCGCGTTTGAATGCGTTTAAATGCACACGCGTTACTTTTCTGGAATACTCAAACGCGTTTGCTTTGAAAGCGTTTTCCAGCGATGTAAAACTATTCAAACTAAGACAAAAGTGTTGCTGGTTCAGTTTTTTTGCACATCGTTTCCTATGGTAATATAACTTTCCACCTTTTTAGATTTTACATTACACTTTTTGCCAGTATACTGTAGAAATGACTGCAAACTGACTCCATTCAATCAATCTTTGCAGGTTATAATGCTCGAATAAGTGGTCAGGATGTTGGAAGAGGAACATTCAGCCATAGACATGCAATGTTAGTGGATCAAAAGACTGACCATATTTTTATTCCATTGAACAATGTTTGTGATGGCCAACGAGGATTTCTAGAGGTAAGTGAAAGCAAGTGACTGTTGTTTTATTTGCCAATGGACTGTAATACTCGAAACGCTCGCTCAAAATCAAGGAATTAGGAAAAAAAAGTGCTGTCACTAGTGAAACTCCAATAGCCCTACAAATTGCATTCTATTTCCAAGCWTGTATTCTCAAGAGGCTTCTTTAGTTTTGGACTGTGGTTTTTGGACTCTATTCCGAGAGGGTAACACAATTAAAACTGCAGAGAACTGATGGACTAGTGATCCTCAGCAGTACTGATTCCAACTTCCAACAGAAATTTGGGCATGTTAAGATTTTTCAAATTATTAATGGTAACTYCATTGTTTCAACAACAATCCCCCAATAYTTTTTGCTAGTCTCCTATTAAATACCTAGTCCACAGTTTTCAGATCCACAGCTGAACTAAATCTGTCAGTAAACGTATTCTGACAACGAATTTATCATTTCTTTGTTAGGTTTGCAAYAGYCATCTATCAGAGGAAGCAGTTTTGGGTTTTGAGTATGGTGTRAGCATTGAGAACCCAAACAATCTGGTAATTTGGGAAGCACAGTTTGGAGACTTTTTCAATGGAGCACAGATAATTATTGACACCTTTGTAGGGTCTGGAGAAAGTAAGTGTAATACGATAAAAATRCATTGAGTCCTATGTGGCAAAGCACAATGAAATAAACTAAATTGATGTTGCTGTTTGTTGGCAACATTTTGTTCATTACATCAGTAATGCCGAATATATGTATACATGTACCATTTAACGTTTTGTATTGCGGATTTTCGCGAGTCTTTAATTTCGCGAAAAAATGGAATTCAGCAGAAAATAGCGCTCCGCACAGTTTCTAAAAATAGCAAACGCGCGAAAATTAATGCGCGAAGTATGCCTGTTCATTTTATAGACCACATTGAACATGATAAACCACTTGTTTTTCTTCTTACCTCTTTAACTTCCAAAGCAAGAAAAAGCCAATTGCGCCCCAGTAATACCACCTCTCTCTACAGTGTTATGATGGCAGATTCTTTCATTACCAACAAAGAAAATAGCTTAATAGATAATCTGATACCTGGACCCAACAAATAACCAAATAGCCAAGCAGCTTTGATTCCATGCTTTCCATGATCATAAAGATGATTGATTTTTGTTTTTAAACTAGCAAAATGGATGTTACACAATGGATTAGTAATGCTTTTACCTCATGGTTATGATGGAGCTGGACCAGAGCACTCATCTTGTCGAATTGAAAGATTTTTACAGGTATGAACAAAGTTATATAAGAGTAGAAAATATCGTGATATGGACGCGTCAATGTCTGTCTGACTGCCTGTCAGTTCTGTCTGTCGGTTGGAGTTTGTGTGATATATCTGCCCATTAAGCAGTCAGTGTACTTTCCTTTCCTGTCCGATTGCATGGTGTAAGCATGACAAACTATATGAAATTGTTCTTATTCTTAGTTAACAGACAGCAAAGAAGATGGTATGGATGCCGACAACGTCAATATGCACATTGTAAATCCAACAACACCGGCTCAGTATTTCCATCTCATCAGACAACAGGTGAACGTCTTGCGAGTAAAGGGGTTAATAAGTATATAGGGTAACAGATGACAGCAAAAAACTGAATCCCCAATTATTGACGCATTGGAAAAGTTTGTGAATCGATAAAAGGTTAAGGCTACAGTGCAGTAAAGTCAGGGCACTGCTGTATTGTTTGCACACTCATGCAAAATCTGCTTTATTTATTGAACATGTCATATCTTAAAGCTTTCCTCTACTAATTAGCGCTTTTGTCGTTGTTTTAGATGATCCGCAACTTTAGAAAACCACTCATTGTAGTAGCACCAAAATTACTTCTTCGTCTTCCGGTATGTGGAAAAAACTGAGCATTATTGAAATATAGTTTTCACC